TTACCACAGACAAGACGTCAACAGAAAATTTAAAAAGCAGGCAATATATCTTAAGGGTGTGATTATACAGTAATCAAGTTGGAACACCTGAACCACCCGAGTTGAAAAAGGCCAAATAGAAGAAACTAAAAGTACCACATAACATGTATACACAACAATAATGTTGTGTTGAACGATCTTCAAGGATCGAAAATATAGCATCATTGATTAAATGTACGGGGAGACTTTTTACAGCCGCCACACGGCACAAATAGCACGGATGTCACAATAAAATAGAGAAAATCAGAGTCCCTAACGAAGGCCCAACACGACAAAATTGAAAAAGCAGACGATCAAACACCAATTATACAATTGATAAAGTTATCCAATAGTACGTTTTTGTAGTTAATACATGCAGGCGATACTGTTCGGTTGAAGAAATCACAAACACATATATAAAATGTATTTAGGTATATGTAATGGAGATTTATGGTAAAAAAACAAATGACTGACGGTTTTAATTTAGAACAACTTGAATAGATATAACCTCAACAACTTATTCTGGTGAATTTTGAACTTTGGGATTCCATAAATATGTTAAACAAAATGACAATTAGATTTGATTACATGCTGAATCTAGACTGTTATCTAAATAAGCAGGTGTTCCTAAAATGGAAATGTAATCCTGAGTAAAAAATGTAACAAAAGTATCTGCTTTAAAATGCATATTTTCATTTCATATTTGATCAAACAGAAAATTAAACAAGAGGGCCATAATGGCCCTATATCGCTCACCTTAGGGAATAGATCTTAACTGGATTTTTCTTATTTAAAACAAGCAACATGTTTATAAAATACTTTAATGTTATTTAGTTAGTGTCAAATGTAAAATAGATGAATACAGAATCCCTAAAGAAAGCCCAACACGGCAAAATTGAAAATGTTGCAGGCTCGGTTTGATTGAGCCTGTTCATGGACGGTACTGGAAAGTGCAAGTTACCGTCCACGCCCCCTAGCACCGGCTTAAGCAGAATTCAACATTTAAACGTGAAATAGTAAAATTTTGAATTTAGAAACATCCGCAGATGTGTTCATACGGCGGTTATCATGGAACCTTCAATGTGACACTTCCGTGCCATTCCATGAAAAGCGGCGTATGGTCCCCAAGTAATAAAAAGCGTGTGCCCTAAACGAGAAAACAATGGGCGGAACTAAATAAAATGGAATTTTGAAAGGGGATCGGAGGTTATGAAGCCTGCGTATCACAGATAAGACGTCAAAAGACAAATTTAAAAAAGCAGGCAACATATCCTAAGGGTGATTCAACATTATTCAAGTAGGAATATTGGAACCACCCAACTAGAAAATGCCGAAAACTTGAAACTAAAAATACCACAAGCACAACAATAATGTCGTGCTGAACGATCTTCAAGGATCGAAAATATAACATCATTGATTAAATGTACGGGGAGACTTTTTACAGCCGCCACACGGCACAAATAACACGGATGTGATCATAAAATAGATGAATACAGAATCCCTAAAGAAAGCCCAACACGGCAAAATTGAAAATGTTGCAGGCTCGGTTTGATTGAGCCTGTTCATGGACGGTACTGGAAAGTGCAAGTTACCGTCCACGCCCCCTAGCACCGGCTTAAGCAGAATTCAACATTTAAACGTGAAATAGTAAAATTTTGAATTTAGAAACATCCGCAGATGTGTTCATACGGCGGTTATCATGGTCAACAGCAACAGGAATGCAATCAAGTGTATAGAAATACCTCTTTTTTCTTTTCTTTAAAGTAAAATGGGTCAAGGACAAAAATGACCGGGTTGCATTTGTATACCAAATAACATGACTTATGAGTCTGTGATGTTACAAAAATGTACTACCATTGACCATTAATGTTGAACATTTAACTAAGTCGGTAAACAGGAAGTGGATAAGGGATAGACCTGAACTTATTAATGCAGTCACATTACCAAACATCAAGAGGCTGTGTTATGTAGTTGCTGAGAAAACTGTTACGGAAACTTCCTTCCATTTACAATTAATGCCGAAAATTTAACTAAGTCATCAAACGGGAAGTGGATGAGCCACATACCTAAAATCATATCCCATTGTATGTGGCTACATGTTGATGCTGTATACCAAATATCAAGAGGCTGTGATAAGTATTTGCTGAGAAAATTGTTACGAAAAATTCCTACCATTGACCATTATTATGAATTAAACTAAGTCAGTAAACATGAAGTGGATGAGTGACAGGCCTGAAATCGAAACCCATGGTATGGAACAATGTGTTAATGCTGTATAATAAATATTATGAGGTTCTCTAGAGTAGTTGCTGAGAAAACTGTTACCAAAAATGACCCAACCAATTCGCCTGCCTGCCTGGAATCAAGTCTCAATACATGATGGTAAACAGTATTTTTTTTGCATATGATTATGTAAATTTTTTCGAAAACCAGTATTATAGTTGTACCAGATATCCCATTAGATTTTAAATATTAAAATATTTTTTGATAAAAGTGTTTACTCAGGGGTATCATGTTGGGGACAGGATCTAACCCCCAAGCATCTGTGGTTTTCTGTATTTATCTATTTTATCATATAAGGACACCCCTTTCTACAAAAACTTCTTCCTGTTCACATGAGTGGCTCTATACACAGGTTTAATCATAAAATTAAATCATGTAAAATGTTATTAAAAAAAACAACAACAAAAAACAGCAGGGATCTCAGGAAGGTCAGAATTTTCCGTGGCAGACTGTTTGGCAAAAAATTTTCATGAGTCAAATCACTTTTTTCTTGTGTTATTTTTCTACACGAATCATTTTCATGTTTTCAGAAATTACTGTTTGGGAAGTCATTTAGAGTAGATTTTCAAGTTTAAATTGATAACTATTGTAAGGTTAGGCAATTATCAGCTTCTTGCTTAGTTAACATGATAAAGATAATTAAGTATTTCTAGCACCATGGATAATTACCATAATTATTGTTCCATTTTCACTTACATTTATTGAGGTGATTAACACATGTGTACATGCAGGGGTAAAAGTTACAAATACTGAAAGAAAAAGTTGGGGGCCACGGGGCCGCTAGGACCCCCGGAGGGTCCAGGGAAACGCCCTGGCTAGGGGTCCAGGGGCTGGATGCCCTCGGAAGCTTTTGCAATTTAGTGAATTTAAAAGCTCAAAAAAAGGCTCAGATACATACTAAAGTGCTTTATTTATCTTCAGATGTAAGTAATCTGATATGTTAAAATTTACAAAAATTCACTGAGCAATACTATTTAAGCAATATATACACATTCCCACATAACAAAATTATGTTCATTCTTTTACTATTTTCAATTTCATATCTTAAATTTAATCCTTTTCCATTGTCTTCCACTTGTTGATGCAGCACACTCTCAACTGACTTGACAATTTCTTCAGATGCGGAAACATTTTGAATTCTCTCAATCCTAAATGATCCATTACTACTTGACTAGTTCTATCATCAAAGTACTGAAAGATTATATTCAGTACTTTGTTATTGTTTTTTGTTAGTTGCCCCATACATATTCAAAGATATTAACTTATCTTTCACTTTTGACTTCACTCCATCCTTAAGGTCTTAGACCCATCATTGACATATCAAGAAGGAAAAGAGGAAGGAAAACACCAGTACCTGCAAGACTGACAGTCTTTTGTCAAAATACATGTATATGAGCCGTGTCACGACAAAACCAACATAATGGGTTTGCAACCAGCATGGATCCAGACCAGCCCATGCTGTTCGCTATCAGTTTCTCTACTTGTAATAGAGTTGGAAAGCAAACAGCATGGATCCTGATCAGACTGCATGGATGCGCAGGCTGATCTGGATCCATGCTGGTCGCAAACCCATTACGTTGGTTTTGTCGTGACACGGCTCATATGTTTGTTCTGTAAGTAAAAAAAACCAGCACAAATCACTTTACCTACCTGACTGATAGGACATGCCTTCAAGAGCTTTTTAAATTTGTCTTTTGACGTCTTATCTGTGATACGCAGGCTTCATAACCTCAGTTCCCCTTTCAAAATTCCATTTTATTTAGTTCTGCCCATTGTTTTCTCGTTTCGGGCACACGCATTTTTTTACTTGGGGACCATATGCCGCTTTTCATGGAATGGCACTAATGTGTCGCATTGAAGGTTCCATGATAACCGTCATATGAATACATCTGCGGATGTTTCAAAATTCCAAATTGTACCAGTTCATGTTAAATGTTGAATTCTGCTTAAGCCGGTGCTAGGGGGCGTGGACGGTAAATTGCACTTAACAGTACCGTCCATGAACAGGCTCAATCAAACCGAGCCTGCAACATTTTCAATTTTGTTCTGTTGGACTTTCTTTAGGGATTCTGTATTTATCTGTTTCTTGAGCACCTTGTGTTATTGACCGCTCTTGTTTTAGTTGAAGTCGCCGCCGCTTAGTCGATGGCAGTGCCGATCTTTCCTGGACACGCTTCCTATGCTTCTGGCATTTATCTGCATATCTGAGGCTGTGGACACCAGGGGAAAGACCTGCCTCGGAGTGTACCTGAAAGCAGTAATCAGATTATTTAGCACACTTTAAAATGACATATTCAGTCAAACATGGATATTGTAAGAAAAGAATTTTCTTGATCTATATATAAACCCGCGCAAAAATAATTCAGATAAAATGGGAACTATTCATAACTCTTTACTATTGTTGAGGAAAACTGCATTATGATTTTTGTAAAAGTAACACCATTATTCAATAAAGTTTGCTTTTTACACCAACAATTTATACATTCCATCAAGGTGCATAGTGGTCTATAAGCAATATATTTCTTCATTATCACTCAACATTTTCAACAGCAATTGCTTATATCTTTATATAAAAGTCATCTTGTGGATTGTTTGTCTCATAAAACTGACCGGCATACAGGTCCTATCTGCACAAAGCATAACAGAAAATTTAATGAAAATCTTTCCAAAGTTCTAGATAATAGAGTATTTACCTTAAGATCATCACCTGTCAACATCTTGTTCCTTGAATAATAACAGTGCTGAACTGGAACAGCTGAACAAAAACAACAAACTTCAATAAACAATTAACATCAATCAACCGTCAAACAAACATTCCAACATTATTTTGGCAATACATCCAACTAAATCATGAAAATTATTCTTTTTTTTTTCAAAGGCTTCAACAATCTGAAAGAGACTGTTTTCTCTTTCTCAAATATAAATCAATGCTTATTACTTTATGAATGTTCTTTATTTTTCGAGTGATGGTTGAAGTTTGCCAAAATTATGCATGAAAAATTCACAAATATATGTAATACTGAAAACAATTAATACCAAGGAAATAGGGTCTCCAGAACTACTATACCACAAATGAAAGGTTGTTATGACTTTCTTAATTGTTGTTCAAAACTATGTCTGTACTGGTCTAACATTTGTAAATAAAATAACAAGCAAACTAAACAGAACAAACTTAAACAGTAATAAGATATGTACCTTTGAAATGTAGTGACGCCCTTCATTGATGAATGCTGCTGTGGCCTTCACTCTAAAATCCAAAGATTCTGAATTCCCATAATGAAGGGACTTTGGAGCCCTCATGGTGACCTCTCTGTTGGCGTGCTCGCACTGCTGACTCGAACCTAGGTCTGCGAGCTGGGGAGCCTTCATCACAACTGGTTCAAACAGTTTTTCTAGCTGAGATCTAAGGTGGTCGTCCTTAAGCGGTCCTTTGTAGGGCAGGCTTCTGTGTGAGTATTTAACACTGCGGTCACGCTTGTACCCACACCATCGAGGCTGGCACATTGTATGGTCTGCGAATTGATGAGGTACTAAAGCTTTCAGATTTTCTTCTAGTCCCTTTGGATCACCTTGATTCTTTGCTAGAATATACTTCACACATTTCTGAATGTGTAAGATCACTAACTTACTGAGCTTTGTGCTTTTGTCCGCCTGAAGAGCATATAGCTTCTTTCCAATGTTTTTCACTATATGATTTCTGTCAAAAAATATGATAAACAAGATCAACAAGGAAAGGCGGCGTTCAATGAACGCAAATTTCTTTTTCAAGCTAATGTTTGATTTGGATTTCAGACGAGCTATCATGGTGTTATCTCCATCGCCTTCAATCACTTCCACAGGGGTTCCGTCCTTGTGTAGCTCACATACACCCCGCTCACCCGATACACTTTCCATAAGCCTGGCACTTCCTGTGTGATCATGAACACAACGATGATTTCGTACTGCCTCTGAAGGTCTATTTCTTTTCCACCATTTGCAAACTCCGCATGTCCGATGACTAACGACTGCTTTCACTACTTTCTTTCCATACTGTGCCTTGCTCATGAAGAAGGTGTGAGCTGTAAAATTACATATGAACAACTAATGACATCTGTGTATCATTTTGCTTTCTGTTGGAAAACTTAAACATCTATTTACAAAAAGCAACAATAAATACTAGAACCCACCATGAAAAAAAAAATCTGGAAACAAAGTGATCCCTTGGAAGCATTAATCACAACAAAATTACATGAGAATTCACATTCCAAGATGGTAGTCTTCTCAGAGCAAACACTTAATCAAAACATTGCCTACTCTCTCTCTCTATCTCTATCCCCTCATACACAATCACAACAAACTAAGTACATTTCGATTGCAAATTGCCTTAACGGTTAAAATTTTGTATGTGTTTAGACACTCTTCACTACTGCTGGTGTTGCGATTAAACTGGTAAGTTAGTTTATAACTTATTACTTACAAGTCAAGCTGTCAAAGCCACGTTTGTGCCAGGCAGTATCTACAGCACAAGACATTCCTGTTCTAGAGTGACAAGGGAACTTCGATGCCAGACAAACTCGACTTGATGGTGTTTTCTGTGCCCGAGACAGCATTGGATGTTTTTTTTATGTTTTCTAACTTGATAACGTCTCCTGTAATATGCAGAAGAAATATGCTTTGAGAGACAAAAGCTTTCCTTATTTTATCAGAATGTGGGTCAGAATATTAACGCTATACATGTTGGGAAAAAAATGTTGTCTGCTAAATGTTGTCTGGTATATGTATTTTTGGCCATTTTTCTTAACAATTGGTACAAATAGTGTCTGATTGGCTTGGAACCTGTCCAGATGCTGATTTAATTGGCATCTGCATTAATTCCAATCAGTTTGCAAAGGCCTGTGTCCTTTTTAGTAAGGTTCACTTCATGATTTGACAGACAGTTTACAATATTAGTACTCTTTTTTGTACCTTTTCAAAGCGGAGGAGAGTCTCACATTATCAGTTTCATCATTATCCTCATCTACATCAGTCCAATCATCATCCACCTGGTTGTCAGGTTGTAACATCAATCTAGCGAGTAAAGAAAAATAATAAGCAAAATTCTGTGAGAACTATATATAAGAATGGAATGAACAGTAAACTTGTAAATAAAATACTTTCAGCTGTGAAAATTTATAAATTATAGATCTGTTATGCTCCTGCTTATGATAATGGATATCTTTATAAATGCTATATGACTGTAAATAGACTTACTTTAGTTTAGGGGAGACATCTGGAAGTGGACATACACCAAGATCTTCGATAAGGCCTTCCATCCTGTCAGCAGCTCTCTTGGACTCAGCTTCAGCCACTTCCCTGAAATATAAATGCTATCTTGACCGTGTGTAAACAAAAACATTTTAATGTTATGTGTCAGGGTTCGAAATGCCCGGATTCTTCGAACCCTGTCATCTTTATAGTTAATTGATTATGATGGTATTTATACAATTATAGTACAATAATAGTATTTTTAAAATGTACAGCCAGACTGTTCATCTAACCATCATTCATGGGAAAATCCAGTTCAATACAAAGAAAACAAGCATTATAGCTTGGCATTCCCAGAGCAAATCATCATTCAATATCCACATTTTCATTGACCATGTAAATGAACAATTTAGAAATTGTTGATGCAAGCAATTATCTGAATCTTACTTCATTTCTTGATGGAAGGCATCCTTGGCTGCCTCACAAGTTGACATGTCGGCCACATGTTCAACAATGTTTCCAGCCCGTCTCTCCATGGTCTTTAGGTTTTTGTTACTAATTGGCTTCAGGTTCAATGCAGCCAGGAAGCTATTTACACGTACGGGCCCACCTAAACTGTCGATCATTGCTAAAAATACCAAACAATAGAAGCAATGAAGCAAAATGTTTGATTGAAACCATTTACATCTAAATCTTATCATTAAAATTGGCATATATTATATGTATTGATGTAACATCCACGAATGGTCACATGAATGGTCACAGCAGTACGCTCGACCTATTATTGTTATTCGGTATTTGAAAGGATAATGCCACAGTTTTTATGTATGTATTGCAGCATAAGTGTTAGTACATGTGCAATATGAATACAGCTTACTTACAGTAAAATGTGTTACAGGTTTATTTACACATAAATTTGTAAATGATCACTGCTGATAGTGATATATGTCATCATAAACAGCTGGACATTTAATAAGTTCTTGTAGTTCGTGACAAATAAAGCTGGGGGGAGTGTAACAGTACAGAGAAATCACTTACAGATGGGATTTAGACATGATGTATGATGTGACGGTGCAGTTTACTTCTAAAATTGATTGATTACAGAAAAAAAACTGTCAATGTATTTATACACTGGTATCATATACAATATAACAATAGCTGTATACGTGTTTTTTTTATTTATTTATTAAAAAAAAGACTAAACTTAATCGTCTAAAATACATACCGGTTCCCAGCTTCGTGTTGACAACAAAACTTGGAATTCCCTTCGACTTTTCCCGACGATGTGTCTTCCCATAAGGAACAATGTTAATTTCTTCACAGTCATTATTTGTACATTTCACATAAAGGTATCCCCCAAGACCCCTCTGTAACTCGCCCACAATGTTAAAAAGCGTCAGTGGAACTGGTCCAAGACCACAGAATTTGCAACACTTTAAACCAGAAAGAAGAACATCAAACTCAACGATTCTACGACCTGTCTTCCAGCCCATCCTTGACACATTTTTAGGCAATTTCGGCTGGCATTCACAGTCTTGTCCATTACACAAATGTGCTCCAACATAATTGTGATCTTCTATAACATTCGACTGCTTCTTTAATCGCCGAGAATTCACAACTTTCTTGTAACGGCCTGTTTTATCGCGGACTTTCATTTTGACATTTACGGTGAAGGACGTTTCATATAATCTCTAAACAAAGTGGTGGATTTCAAACATCCGATAATTTCAACGAATTGTTGTGAATTTGGATATTATATTGTTAATATACCAAACAAATAGCAGTTATTTAATTTTTGTTTACAATACTTTTTATGAAAACGCAATTTGTAACGTTTATATTTTTTAGAGAATAACTAAGCCGACCTAAGCCGAGTAATCCCGAAGTTCCTCCGTATCCGTTACGAGGAAGGGCGGAGTTAGGCGAAATTTCACGATCTAATGATCTAATTAGACTCTAGAGAGTGGCTAAACTACACAGAGAAATGATCTTACTTGGTCTAAGTTTCTTTTAGTGGTCCTCATCTTCAGCTCCTCTTGATTAAGAAGCACCTTTTTTTCTGTTCGAATTTGTCTAGTTGATCGTTTTGGAACAGACTTCACAAAAGCCCATTGCATTTGGTTTCTTCAACCAAGCATCCCATTTTTCACCTTTAGAGTCCTTTTCCGCTAACCACTCTCACCTCCATTTGTTTTTTGCACCTTTTTTTAGATCGTTAGTATTAACACTTCACTGTTGTTGTCATTGTATTTGTACATGTATGTATTTTGACATCAAATGACTATGCAACAAACGATTTCATTGGCTGGTAAAAATAACGACGACCAATCAAATCTGATCTTGTTTAAATTTAACTAGCTCAATTTTTCATCGGCAATCTCCGTATTGTAATTGTTTTGATTCGTATATTTCCCATTTTGTGCAAACAGGTCTGAGACGGACAAATTTATTTAAAATAATATATCAAGCATTATCAAGCAATGTGCACACGCTAATTAATGAGGCATGCACACACACCCTTCCCGATTTCTCATCGGATTTAAGTCATTCAGAAAAATGACATCGGAGATCGCCGAAAATACGGAATTCCGTCAAACATAAAATTTTAGTAATCATATCACGGGAGGTGATATTTACATAAATACTAAATGTCATCCCTTAATACTTCACAGATTGTGAACAAAATACCTGTTTCAACGAAGCACACCGATAATTGTATTCATCTTCTTTTCTTTGTTTTGAAATACGAGTTTATGTTACAAAATTTCTCAATTTCCTTGTTCAAGGCCGCCATTTCGTCCTACTTCCGGTCGGTTAGTTTTGTAAATAGGTCAGATTGATACAGATGTTTTCTGGACAAAAATGTTGACACAAGACTGATTGATATGCATTATTTAATGATTTGAATTGTATGTTTATGATCAGAATGAAATATAATGACATAAATCGTTCAGCAGATTCAGTAAAACCAGCGTACACAAGTTGAAATATATGATTTTACCCGCAAACCGGAGGAAGAATTTAAGTAATATCCGTACTGTGAATTAAACTTTTATCTTAATCAGCTTTTTTGTGAAAAAAATACAACATTTTTGTTTACTTTCGTTTCTTTGTGCAATATCTTACACAATAAAATGTGCAAGTCAATGTCAAGAACCAAAATATATTACATTTTATTTCGGAAATGACACAGTCTCCTTTCTGGTGGTGTTACGAAATTAATGGAAGAATCTATTATTAAATGGGGAAATCAACTTCACTTTAGCTCTGAAATTTGGGCTATTCTGATTGACTTTGTTTTGAATTAACATTCACATCCAACAACATTTTCATCTTTCTAATGCTTTAACAGAAAAATCCTCATCTGTTGAGACAAAAGATACAAGATACACTTTTTCAATTTATCCCTACAAAGACAGTCTATACAATCTTGCAATTAAAAAAAACCCTTTAACCCCCAAAACAGAGACCAATTTTCAACTCTAGACCATAATTTGAATATACGTTGTAGAATCCAACAAGCTTATGCCTTGTGAGAAATATCTAAGCTCTAGCCCTTTCCATTTTGAAGTATAAGACCTTTTAAGTTTTTTCTTTTAGTTGCCATAGCAACCAGAGTTTAGCATGGAATAGCATTCTTTGAACAATTTTGATAGAGCTTCATACAAGGAGTATTCCTGCCAAGTTTCATTAATATTGGCCAAGTGGTGTTTTAGAAGATGTCGTTTAAATAAAATGTGGACGGACGCGGGACACCGGACGCCATTTGATTGGCCATCCTAAAAGCTCATCTGCACTATGTGCAAGGTGAGCTAAAAACATAAATATGAAACAATTATCTACAGCACAGGTGTTCTATTCGGCGCGTATGTAACCCTCCTACCTCTGCAAAACCATGTAAACTTCAGTATCTGTCATTTGAAGCATTAATCACAACAAAATTAAATGAAAATTGCAGCCTCGGATTGTCTGAGTAGTTTCAAATGTTATTGTAGCATTATGTTGTAAAAGTTGTAAAAATTATACAGCAACAATTAACAATTTCTTTAAACAACATCTCAAAATAGAGAAAAACAGAATCCCTTAAGAAAGACCAACACGGCAAAATTGAAAATGTTGCAGGCTCGGTTTGATTGAGCCTGTTCATGGACGGTACTGGAAAGTGGAAGTTACCGTCCACGCCCGGGCCCTAGCACCGGCTTAAGCAAAATTCAACATTTAAACACGAAACATGGTGAAATTTTGAATTTAGAGACATCCGCAGATGTGTTCATACGGCGATTATCATGGAACCTTCAATGTGACACAGTAGTGCCATTTCATGAAAAGCGACGTATGGTCCCCAAGTAAAAGAATGCGTGTGCCCTAAACGAGAAAACAATGGGCGGAACTAAATAAAATGGGATTTTGAAAAGGGATCTGAGGTTATAAATCCTGCGTTTTACAGACACTACATCAAAAGACAAATTTTATAAGCAGGCAACATACCCTAAGGGTGATTATACAGTATTCAAGTAGGAATACTGGAACCACCCAAGTTGAAAAATGCCAAATAGAAGAAACTATAAATACCACATAACATGTATACACAACGATTATGTCGTGCTGAACGATGTTCAAGGATCGAAAATATAACATCTTTGATTAAATGTACGGGGAGACTTTTTACGGCCGCCACACGGCACAAATAACACTGATGTGACCATAAAGTAGAGAAAAACAGAATCCCTAAGGAAAGACCAACACGGAAAAATTGAAAATGTTGCAGGCTCTGTTTGATTGAGCCTGTTTATGGACGGTACTGGAAAGTGCAAGTTACCGTCCACGCCCCCTAGGACCGGCTTAAGCAGAATTCAACATTTAAACACGAAAAATGGTGAAATTTTGAATGTAGAGACATCCGCAAAGTTATAATGCACAGTTACCAAACTTTACACGAATGATCTTGGGTGGTCCCCTGCCAAAGTTGTTCAAATGGTTACGGTCTGTTGCATAAGTAGGCCACGGGGCTAGAAAAGGAGTTTAAAAAAATGTACACTTAAATCTTCTTGTCTGAAAGTACAAGGCCTAGAGCTTTGATTTTTTGTTATATTGGTATATGATATCACCTATAGGTCATCTACCAAAGTTGTTCAAATTATAGCCCGGGGGATCAAAAATGGCCCCGTCCCGGGGGCCATAGGTTTTCAATATATGTATATAGTAAAAACTTAAAATCTTCTTGTCTAAAGGTACAAGGCTTAGTGCTCAGATATTTCGTATGTAATATCACCTATAGGTCCTCTACCTAGATTGTTCAAATAATAGCCCTGGGGTCAAAATTGGCCCCGCCCCAGGGGGTCATATAGGTTTTCCTTATATGTATGTAGTAAAAAACTTAAAAAATCGACTTGTTTGAAGAGCTGCGATATTTGGCATATAATATTATCTATAGGTGCTCTACCAAAGTTGTTCAAATTATAGCCCTAGGGTCAAAATTGGCCCAGCCCCAGGTAGGTCATAGGTTTTCCTTATATGTAAATAGTAGAAACTAAAAAAATCGACTTGTTTGAAGGTACAAGGCTTAGAGCTAAGATATTTGGTATATAATATCACCTATAGGTCCTCTACCAAAGTTGTTCAAATTTAAGCCCTGGGGTCAAAATTGACCTCGCTCCGGGGGTCATAGGTTTTCCTTATATGTATATAGTAGAAACTTAAAAAAAACTTCTCCTCTGAATTGACAAAGGCTACAGGTTAGATATTTAGCATGAAGCATTGTGTAGTGGAACTCTACCAAGATTGTTTAAATTATAGCCCTAGGGTCAAAATTGGCCCCGTTTGTTTGTTTGTTTGTTTCATTTTACGCCTTTTCCCAACAGTATTTCAGACATATAGGCGGGTAGTTTCCTAACCATCGTTCCTGGAGAGTTACACCAGTACTAGACTACCTTCCTCCGTGCTAAACTACCAAAGCATCTCCCGGGGATCGAACCCACGCCAGAGAGGTAACTGGATTAGAAGTCATCGACTCTAAACCCTCGACCACGGAGACAAAGGCTACAGGTTAGATATTTAGCATGAAGCATTGTGTAGTGGAACTCTACCAAGATTGTTCAAATTATAGCCCTAGGGTCAAAATTGGCCCCGCCCCGGGTCATAGGTTTTCCTTATATGTATATCCGCCTATATGACTGAAGTATTGTTGGGAAAAGGCGTAAAATGAAACAAATAAATTATATGTATATAGTAAAAACTGTACCCATCCACAAACTTTAACCTTTACAAGCTTCCTACTCAATCCGTAAACTTTATTATATGTAATTTATTTTGTAAATATGTGGATTATAAATAAAATATTGTTTAAACTAAACTTTATTGTCTTAAAACATCAACTCCAGTTTTGTATATTTTTAAGAACTGGTTACTTCACTTTTGTATATCAATTCAATTTAGTACTCAGGTGAGCGCATTGGGGCCAATGACCCCCTTGTTTAATATTTTTGTGGGAAATAGTGGAAATTGAATTGAAAGTATATATCAAATATAAAACATATTTCAAATGAACAATAATGCAGTTTACAAGGTTTTGGAGAGGACGGAGGGTTGTAGAGTATGTAAGGGGGGGGGGGTGGAGGTAGTGACCAATCAACGCGTCGAACACCTGTGATCTACAGAATATGATTAAATCACCTAACTTAATCACTGAGCATGAATTGCTTTATTTATATTCTTTTTCAGTATAAAAAACAAAGGTGATGACTTCGTACAAAAATGATGGGGACTGTGTTCCTGTTCAATCCATGCCCAATGGCGTCTTTATACCGTCGAATGGACAAATGAATGGACATTTTATTTATGCTGGTAAGATACAATTTTACACTTAAATAGGTGTTTATGCATTCAGTATCTGACAAGTAAGAATGTCAATAATTTCGTAAACTAAAACTTTTCGTGTATCACATAAAGCATCATAAAGCAATCGTGCCAATTAACAATGTGTTTTTAAAAGTAGTCCTCTGTTTCATTTAGGTGATCAGATATGCATTCGTGAAATGCCGCAACAATGGAGGCCAACCAAATGGAGTAGAGAAGTACATACGTTTTGCTTAAAAACCGCAATATATCAAAAATAGAATAGTTTGTTTTTATTAGATAATGTATCTCAAACTAGAACTCCATGAGTCGGATGTGTCGCCTTGTGAACAACAGTATAGCTGTCACTTAGGCACTTTCTTGTTAAATATAGGTTATATATAAACACGACTCTTACAATATACATGGACCTTGAACTTTAGTCGCATTTGAACTGATTGTAAAAATGCTACATCAGGATTGATGTAGAATGAATAGCTTTATTGTGTTGGAGAAATGACCCGGACAAAAATAAAGTGTAATAATTAACATAGGGCAATAAATCATGAAGTACATAGTAACGGTTCTTATATATGCAATGCTCTTTTTCTCAATGAGATATATCATCCTATGAAGTTTCAAGTCCATAGCTTTTATAGTTTAGGTGAAATGGCCGGGACAAAATTAAAAGTATTATATTATAAACAAAGAGCAACAACTCAAAAATTAAGAAGCGCAGAGTATCCGTTTTTAAGCACTGCACTTTTTCATAATGAGATCTGTCATCCTATGAAGTTTCAAGTCCATAGCTTTTATAGTTTAGGAGAAATGGCCCGGACAAAAATAATAATGAAAATTAACAAAGGGCAATTACTCAAACACATACGTGCAGAGTACCGGTTCTTGTGCACTGCTCTTTTTCTTAATGAGATCTATCATCCTATGAAGTTTCAAGTCCATAGCTTTTATAGTTTAGGAGAAATGGCCAAGACAAACATAAAGTATGGAAATTAACAAAGGACAATAACTCAAAAAATAAGAAATGCAAATACCGGCTTTTGTGAACTGCAATTCTTCTAAATGAGATCAATCATCCTATGAAACTTCAAGTCCATAGTTTTGATAGTTTAGGAGAAATTGCGATACAACAACACATTTTAAAAAGCATAATTTGAAGCTAATGCTTTTCTAACCATTTTAAAACGTGGTAATGGAAAAATGCAAGCATGTCGTAATGATCAATATTTACAGAAAGAGAAAACTTGTCAAAACATTCATTCATAGATCTAGAAAATTTGAGATTGATGCACTTACTTTCGCGCTAATTTTTCAAACATTTTGACGGATAACACCTTTATGTACTTTATCTGTTAGTCAAAAGTTATGTAAAGTTTCATCAAACATTGAAAGAGAGAGGCAGGACATGTCAAAATGTGAAGACAGAATCTTGTTATTTAATGTGTGTTCTACTTAACATTTACAGTATGTACGATTAGAACTCTAACAACGGTATAATCGAAATTGCTAAATGTTGATTTTTGTAATTGTCATCACTTTCAAATTATATTTCTCTTTATTTTGTAATAGCATCTAGATTGTATGAAAGACGATTTAATTAGGTTTACACCAAAAGAAGATCCGTCAGTCACACGCACACGGATATTGATGATTGGACTTGTTGGCGCGGGAAAATCCAGCTTCTATAATACCATTGACTCCGTATTCCGGAATCGTATAACTCAGCGCGCAACTTGTGGTAGCGCAGAAGAAAGCCTTACAAAAAATGTAAATAATTGTTTTCTTAACCTGTTGACTATGTAAAATCAATTTCAAAGAACACGCAAAATTTAGTTTTCTTGTTCTCATGTTTTCATTTAACGACTACACATAAAGTTTATAATTTTAGTTTATTTGTGTATTTTGAATTCCAAGTGTCATAATCCTCGTCGCATGCAGATCGTTACCATTGTCACTATGAAAGTATAATTATGTATCACACTTAATCCTTAAAATTTCAAATGAAATATCTAAAAGTATCTTCATTATTTAAGTATAACACCTACGCTATAAAAGATCAAAGTGGTACAGACATGAACTTCTGTTTATGTGACACACGCGGAATGGAAGAACTCAATGGTCTTCATCATGATGACTGCAAATATTTATTGGATGGACACATAAAAGACCACTACGAGGTATTGCTACTTTGCAATTGTCAAAATACATGTTATAAGATTATAGAATACTCATTCAAAATTCCATTTTATTTAGTTCCGCACATTGTTTACTCGTTTAGGGCACAGCTTTCTATTAGCTTGGGATCATATGCCGCTTTTCATGGAATGGCACTAACAGGTCACATTGAAGGTTCCATGATAACTGCCGTATGAACACATCTGCGGATATTTCTAAATTCAATATTTTACCATTTCCTACTTAAATGTTGAATTTTGCTTAAGCCGGTGTAAAGGCATGGACGGTAGTTTGCACGTAACAGTACCGTCCATGAACAGACTCAATCAAACCGAGCCTGCAACATTTTCAATTTTGTCGTTTTGGACTTTCTGTAGGATTTCTGTTATTTTCTCTATTTTATTGCCACATCAGCGTTTTTTTTGCCGTGTGGAGGCTGTTAAAAGTTTCCCCGTACATTCAATCAGAGTTGTTATATGTCCGATCCTTATAGATCGTTCGGCACGACATTTTTTGTTGTGTTTATCATATATTTAAGTTTTAACTATTTGGCCATTTTCTATTTGGGTGGTTCCAATATTCCTACTTGAATAATATTGAATCATCCTTATGAAATGTTGCCAGCTTTTTAGTCCCCTACCGGTTTACCGCGATAACGCAAAATGTACGGAAAATATTTTTATGAAACTTGATATATGGATAGATGGCAGTATGGAGATTATGCATGTCTTTTTCTTTTCTTCATATGTTGAAAATTCTGGTTGCTATGGCAACAAATAGACTGAAAATATGGCAAATTTTTACACATAACCTGGATCCCGCGATAACGCAAGAGTGCTGAAAATATTTTTATGAAACTTGATATATGGATAGATGGCAGTATGGAGATTATGCACGTCTTTTTCTTTTTTTTCCTATGCTGAAAATTCTGGTTGCTATGGCAACAAATAGACTGAATTTCAAGATTTCTGATTCTAGTTTTAAAGTTTTTTCACTATAAGTTCTTTATTTCTTAAGGTATTTTCTTCAAACTTTAAATATAAGTTGCTAGTCATCAACAACATCATATGTGACAAAGTGTACAACTCTAGCACAAAATTTATCAGAATTACCTCCCTTGAACTTAAAATTTTCATGAAAAAAATATTGTTTTTTTTAATAACTTCTTTTTTTCTGAATGTATCTACTTCAAACTTCATATATATGTTTCTTATTATCACTCAACATTTGTGAGAAATTTCAATACTCTAGCAAGACTATTTCCAGAATTATGCCCCTTTTGAACTTTTTTTCGAGAATTTGGTAATTTTTACTCCAACTTCTTCAATCATGATAGGATTTTCTTCAAACTCCCACATCATAATAATATGACAAGGTTTATAAATCTAGCATCCATATTTCCAGAATTATCTCCTCCTTAAACTTTTGATTTTTCTTATTCGTTCTTTTAACTTTCATTTACTTCAAATTCAAAATAAACATTCATTATTCATACCTTCATTACTAATTGTTCTTTGTTACACTCACATCATGTATGACATCTTGCATCTTTATTTCACGAGTTATCTCTTTCTAAAAATTTTGCTTTTAAAAATGTTATATTTTGATAACAGGGATGTTTAAAAAATAACTGTAGAGTGTCCTTCATTCCGTCTGTCTGTACATAAAAACTGTTTCCTGTGATCACTTTTAAAGAACTTTTTAACAAAATTACTTAAAGTAGAAACATACGTGAATTGCCAATGGCCCTTCAGAATGTTGCTGGGGTTCTAACCGGTAGGGGACTTATGGATTGCTTGCAATACTATGATAATTGCTTGTTAACTTTGTCTTTTGACGTCTTATCAGTGATATGCAGTCTTCATCACATCTGATCCCCTTTCAAAATTTCATTTAAATAAGTTCCGCCTATTGTTTACTCGTTTAGGGCACACGCGTTCTACAACTTGTGGACCATACGCAACTTTTCATGGAATGGCTTTAGCCAGTCACATTGAAGGTTCCATGATAACCGCCGAATGAACACATCTGTGGATATTTCTAAATTCAAAATTTAACCATTTCGTAGGAGCGTGACAGTACCGTCAATGAACAGACTCATGAAACCGAGCCTGCAACATTTTCAATTTTGTCGTTTTGGACTTTCTGTGGGGATTCTAATTTTTTTATTCTATCGTATATACTAAATCAACGAAATAACATAGCAAAGTTATATAACATAGAATATTTGTAATAACCTTTTTCAAGCAAACTGCTGTTTGTTAAATGTTTTAACATTTCGATATCTTTTAATTTTGTCTTTTTTATTTAGTTTTCAACGGAGCATTCAGTTTCTTGGTGGTATTATAACGGAACGCCGTCTGCCAATGATAGAGTACATTGCATAGCGTTTGTCATTGATGCAACATCAGTGGACGTTTTATCAGAAATGGATTTAAACAAAATCAGAACATTTCAGAAACTTGCAAAGGAGAGAGGTGTGCTGTTTTGTTATCGGTGGTTAAAACGTTACGTTAAGGATGCAAATTACTAACACCTAACATTTTGCTTATTTCTGTTTTGTAACCTTTTATTTTGTTTTCTAGAAAACATGATTTACCCGAAAAAAAAAGTATTTTGCAAATCAAAGACATATTTTGTATTTTCCTTTTTTAATTAAGTGATGAATTATTTCAACATTTTCATAGAAGCATTAAAGGATGATTAACCAGAAAACACTGACCCGTTACATAAACACCGAGTAGGAGATAAATGATAAACTTAGTAAATTATTAATTTTTATATCTATAACAGGTATATTGCAGACAGTTGTTCTAACAAAGATAGACAATCTCTGTAAAGATGTGAAGAAGGATATTTCCTTAGCCTGTTCAAGCACAAATGTTGAAGAGGCTGTTCAGAAGATAGCAGACCTGCTAGGTCTTCCACGTAACAATGTCTTCCCAGTAAAGAACTACGAAAATGAAACAGAGCTTGACGACAAAATAAGTATTCTCGCCTTAGCTGCTTTGAAGCAAATGCTTTTTTTCACAGAAGATGCTTTGCAAAAGAAAAAAGAAGAGGCAGAACACGAAATATGGTTGAAACAGCCATGCAATATCCTTTAAAACGCAGCCAACCTGATTCATATAAATATACGTTATAAAAGTTAAAACAAAACTACGAAGATACATATTTAAAGAATCAGTCTCACACAGACTTTAAGTAGTACTCAATCTTCTTTTTACTTATGTAATGTTTTAGACTTTCATAAGCTGTACTTTTCACACTGAAATAAAACTGAATAGTGTGTAGAAGCTTGAACAAGATCAAATCGTCGCCAATTCAAGCTAAATATTTAGTAGGAAGACAGTGTTTGATAAAAATAATTTATCAAAAGTTTGGTTTTAAGTTTAGATTAAACCTCGCCCCGAAAGATGTTTTGAAGTTTTACTTGATGTAAAAGCAACACATGTGCAAATACTAATTGTAACATTAAATGTGAATTTTGGATGTACAACGACGGAGATATGAAAGTTATGTTAATTACGTAATCACTTACTTGTACACTTGAAATGAAGATATGGCAATAAATTATGGAAATCTTGTCAGATTTTGCACAACTATCGGTACGTAATGTTTATTTTGATAGACCTAAGGTTGTGTGGATAGAGAAAATGAAATATTCTCAAAACAGTAAAAAAAAAACAAGATGGAAATTAAATGGAAGTTTATCATGGCATTAAAAATAACATGATTTAAGAGAATAATCTCAAATGCTAGTTGAAAAAGTATTCTTTACGACAAAATAGATACGCAAACTTTTTTTCACTGCGGAAACCATTACTTTGAAAAAGAAACAACCAATCTTTTTTGGAAGGTCATCTGTACGCCCTTATCAAGATATATAGAATTACCTCCAATAAAAAATAATTCTTTCGGAAAACATCCTTTAACAATAACATATTAATTGGTTCAAAAAGCGTATTTTTAAAATCTTTTTTTTTTTTTTTAATTTGTAACTTTATTTTCTGATTTCACATACAGACATTATAACATATCTTGAAATTCACAAAGACATACAATAGTATATAAATTCATATCAGTTCACAAGGACATTACATAATTATAGTATTTTCTAAATGCATATAAACAAACCATAAGAAATTTTCAGAAACTTCTTTATTAGTTCCCTACCAGTTTAACCGGAGGGGACTTTAGGTTTACCCTCCGTCCGTCTGTCTGTATGTCTGTCTGTCAGTCCGTCTGTCAAAACTGGATCCCGTGATAACGCAAAAAGTACTGAAAATATTTTTATGAAACTTGATATATGGATAGATGGCTGTATGGAGATTATGGACGTCTTTTTCTTTTCTTCCTATGTTGAAAATTCTGGTTGCTATGGCAACAAATATTCTGAAAATATGGCAAATTTAACATATAACTGGATCCAGTGATAACGCAAAAAGTACTGAAAATATTTTTATGAAACTTAAAACATGGGTAGATGGCAGTCTTGCGATTATGCACATCTTTTTCTTTTCTTCCTATGTTGAAAATTCTGGTTGCTATGGCAACAAATAGACTGAATTTCAAGATTTCTGATTTAAATTTTTCAGCTTTTTCACTATAAGTTCTTTATTTCTTAAGGTGTTTACTTCAAACTTTAAATACAAGTTTCTGGTCATCAACCACATCATATGTGACAAGGTTTACAACTCTAGCACAAAAATTATCAGTATTACCTCCCTTGAACTTAGAATTTTTATGAAAAAAATGTTGTCTTTTATAAGTAACTTCTTTATTTCCTAATGTATCTACTTCAAACTTCATATATATGTTTTTTATTATCACTCAACATTTTGGAAAAGGTTAAATACTCTAGCAAGACTATTTCCAGAATTATGTCCCCCTTGAGCTTCCCCCCTTTTTTGAGAAATTGGTATTCTTTACTCCAACTTCTTCATTTCTTATAGGATTTACTTTAAAATCCCACATCGTAATAATATGACAAGGTTGTATAAACATAATTTCCTTACCAGGCAGGGAAACTTAACACATTACTGTGATATTTACAAACTTAGAACTCAAAAGATTTAAGTTAATTCATGTCATTCATTCACTGGTAAAATTGAATGACCAATGGCCCATCAGAATGTTGCTGGGGTTCTAACCGGTAGGGGACTTATGGATTGCTTGCAATACTATGATAATTGCTTGTAATTTATAGTTAATATTTGACCTATTCTCTATTTTACCGTAAACGAATATGGTAATGTTTTTTTTAGCTCGTAAAATCAAAAATGAACATTGATTTCCCTGTAAACAAACCATTCTCTGAAACTGTTACAGTCTAAGTCTTAAGTTCGAATGAATATTCAATAGAACCTTTTCTGAATATATAGATAATTTAACATGTTCTGAGACCTTGTTACAAATTCACAAGTACATACAATATATTATAATCATATAAAATTCTTAATCATTATAAAAGACATTAAACAAAAGTTGATATTTGGATATATATCTATTACTTATACAGAACTAAGAAAACAAAGATGGCTAGAGAGAATATTACATCCATTTACTGGAAAAGAAAAAAAACAACAACAATAATATACCTTCTGAACAGTCATGAATAGTGACTAATATCTTTGTTAAAATTATTATAGTATATATACCTTGTTATAATGATTTGCCTGTAATTCCAGATTGAAATTTATTTTTATACAAAAGAGTTATCTAAAATATGAAAAAAACATATGCATTAAGGGGTCAATTTAAATCTTAGAATTATCTACATGAACTCAAGCAGACAGATACTATTCTTGCATAGTTCTAACAATATAAGATGTTAAATGCATAGTTCTAACATAATCATATGGATGTTTAAAGCTTGAAGAAAAAAAATAAGGAAAATAAAGGTTCAAGAGTGTCAGGTGGAAAAAACATTTAAAGATGGAGCAAACCAATAACCAATAATCAAGCGAACCATGATTTAAACAAAAATCACAGCATTAAGTTATACATTAATTAAACGCATATATAATAAAAGTAAACAAATATACTACCTGTCCTGTGTCGGTGTAAGTGATGCTAGTGGGGCCCAAATTATATTAAACTTATTTAGATTAAATATTCTAAATATTCTGCTTAAAAATAGGAAAAGAAATGCTTTTTAAAAGATGAAAAATCAGGTACTGTCATTTTCATCTTACTCTGATATATATAGTATTTAGCAAGGCATGGCTGTCATGTCTATTTCTAGTGACATACTGGATTTTTCAAATATCTAAACCTTGCCATTCAATAGTCGTAGTTTCCTTACTGATTATTTAAAGATTGATTTGTATTCAAGACTTCAAAAATTTTTGAAACACAATGTCCGGTAAAATGAGTTTTCTACACGATTTTTTTAATCTTATAATACCCTACTTAAAAGACACATTTCTACGGTCAAATGTTTAATTTCATAATTTAAACTTTAATTTCATAAAAGATACTGATAAAAAAATTCTTATTTTGTCCGGTAATATGTAGGATCCCAGTAGTACTTCATGTTATATTAAGTTTTGACATTCGATTTCTTTTTTTTTTTTTTTGCAAATTGTTTACTAAATAAATCAAATATGTTTACGAAATGTAATAATATTAATTGAAAGATTTTGTTAAAGACATACTTGTGTCATTCGGATATTTTTTTATTAAAGTTTACATTGTTTACAACAAAATTATAAAAAAAAATCCGCCAAAACAATACAGTCCAATACTAAGAGATTAATACACGGCAGAGTAGGGCCGGAAGGTAATGTGATAATCGGTCCGCAAAATGAATAATGGCCCCGAGGGCTTCAACCCGATGGCATTATTCATTTAAGGGCCGATTATCACCTTCCGGCCCTACTTTGCCGTGTATTAATGTATTTAATCTAATAGTAGCATTAAAAAAATACTTTGAAGTTCTTTCGTTGAAATTCTTGTCTACACTTTTACTGTTCTGTAGAGATGTTTACTGTTTGTGTGTTCAAAGCAGTAGAATCTAGAAGCAAGTTTTATTTTTCAATTTTTTTCGGAATTAATTTGTCGTATTATTTATTCAAATTTCAATAGTAACAAAAATGTATTTGTACGAAATACGCTTAAGCTCTCATAATAAAATAAAGCGATTCGTGCTGACAACCTACTTTCACTTTTACAGTTAACTGTTTGATGACGTAAAATATGACGTCATTGTTTCAGTTTGTGCACGTGCACATGTTCTGCGGGCTGATAACTAGTTCTCGGCCCCGGGCCGCAAACTCATAATATGTCACGTGACACTCATAATCAGTTGAAATCATAGGCAATTTTGTTACTATATATAGTAACAAGTGTATTAAAATAAAATACATAACGTCTTTCTCATTTATGACAGGCGATGTTGCGAGCATTAGAATACAATATGAAAGTCTGAAACGTGTAGAAAGTTTAGTGGAAGCTTTTAAAAACTCACAAATAAACCAACAAACTCTCAACAGTATAAGAAATGCCATGAATGAAAATGATGCCCGTAAGCTTGGTAGTGGTATTGTAGCAGGTAGCAGACCAAGTTATATGAGGGTGCTTATTACACTTATAGGGTAAATCATTATCTTACTGAATCGATATTAATTATTGGTTGAAACTCTTTTTTACTAACATCATTATCTTTAATCATGTTAAAAATAAAAGCACTCAGATTATGGCAAATTGATAGAAAGCACTTACAATTATTTAACATTTTACTAATATCAAATGACAGACTTTACGCTAAGATTATGAATTTCTTTTAACGTGACTGTTACACTCGTGATGGTTACTTTGTTATTTGTAATGAATTTATATGCTATGCCTATACACGAGTATATTAATGAGTTTATCTATTAATGAACAAATCTTATTTTTCAGCCGAATGTATAAAAATGATTTTAGGAACCGAAAGGACTACTTTGCTCGTATTTTTCTACTCCCCTTGTTTATGGCGTTCATAATTATACATGTATTTTTGGGAAGGCTTAAACACAACAGACAAGTATTCAGCACTTCATGGGAATCATTAACAGTATTGCACTTTGTACGTATAATCATTTACTTGCAAAAACATTTACACATATCATGCAGAAATCAGTAAAAATAAGTGTTCATTCAATAATTACGTAACATTTATTGTGATATATTTTGAACAAGACATACTTGTTGTCTGATTATATGACATATCATTCTTGAAATATTTTTTTTCTTTAAAACATATTAAGTTGAAAAAACGAGAGGATCAGGATGAATAAAGATAGGGCAAAATGTTCAACAAAACTTATACAAATCTATACGAAGACCAGATGTTTGTTATGCTTCGTATATTTTTGTTGATGCATACCAACGTTTAAATCTATTATTGTCAACATAATCGGCTCAATTTTCAGTTTTATGTTTGCGGGATTTATACTACCGTGAGAGTCGAGACGGATTGTACGGACCTGCGACATTCTTGATAGCGTACTCCATACATGTCATACCCTTCAATATTGTGTCGAGTGCCATATTTAGTAGTATTATATACTGGTATGATAAAAGTTTATATAAATCACAATTTCCACAGGCTAGTATTTTAGACTGTATTTACTTCTTGCTTGTGTATCTTTTAAAGTACAAATAGCGGTTGATATAACAGGACGGTAAATTTTTCTTAGACAAAAGTAAATTGCATTTTAACTATAATATGCACAATGAGTGATTTGATTAAGCACAAATGCTTCTTTTTTTTATCTAATTGTAAAAGTACTATTTACATATTTTGTAGGATTTCTTTCCCCTTTCACATTTACAGGGTTTGTGGGATATACCCAAGTGCTGATATGTTTGGAATATTTACTCTCGAGGTGTTCGATCATACTGCATTATTGGGGAGAAATATTGACTGTTGCCTGTCTGGGAATGTTTATGAATCCAAATTTAGCCAATAGTGTTGCTGTTCTGCTGCAGTCAGTTGCTGTCATTACAGCGTCCGGATATATAAAGTATGATCTAAATTTGAGTGACAAAAACTAAAGTCTTTGATCGGAAATTTTGCAAAATCTATTCAAGTTAACATTTGTTGAAACATTTCCTTGACAATAACGGAAAATGAGTTAAATTTGCGATTACTTTCATCTTAGTTCATTAAGAGAAATAGATAAGGTTATATATTTAAAAGAATATAGTTGAACATATATCATTTCTTTATCGTCAAAGTAATTTAACAAAAGCTTTGTTAGTGAGCTTTCCTACTCGTCAATTTTGGAAATTTCAATAAATGACATGGTCTGTGACCGTAACGACGTTTTAAAAGCGATGCTATTCAATGTTAGAAAAGGAACAGATGAATAAGATATCAATGATTGTTTGAAAGGTTTTTTTTTTTTAAAGTGTATTATTATTAATATTATATACTATTTTCTTTGATGAATAAAACTCACATTTTGTCCAGTGTAACTTTTTAATTTTTCCAACCTCTGTAAAATTTATTATATTTCCTTTTCAGAACATTAGATACCCTGGTTGAACCAATGGAGTGGTTAAGTTACATACTTATACATAGATATTCTGCAGCCATCTTTGTAGCAAACGAGTTTAAAGACCTTGACTTTGACTGTGATCGAAATGGTAAGTTTGAAGACATTTTCATACAATAAGAAATGACTGCCAATGCTCCGATACCTTATCCAAATAAAGGTGCTACGTGTTTTTCTAATTTCTTTCTGTAAAAAAAAGAATGAAAATCGTAAAGTCATCCCAAGCAAAATATTAAAATCACAGATCAAGTCTCATTAATAATATCAGTATAACTTGAAATAATCTATATTTCCTACTTTATCTATTTCTGCTTTATACGAACTACATAGAATTATGAATTTATAGTACCAAACATATCTTATACAATTCAGTTACGTTGAATTGTATTGAAAGTGGAAATGATTACCTAAACAAATATTACCCTGGTGCTGTGGATGATATTGCGAACAACTTCGGGTATTTAGCAGCTTATTTGGCAGGGACTCTAATATTTGCTATTATTGTCTTCAAATTATCTTGTTTACGAAATTTACATTGACACATTTGTAAAAAATTGTGTAATAATGCATCTTGTCAAATGTGATATATTTTATATTGACCAAGATTAATGGTCAGTTATGTTACTTGCTAGATATTTTTATGAAATGAAAGAAAAAAAGTAAACAGATTTGAATTAAAGTATGTTGTGTTTATCTTCTATCAAAGCGGTACTGCAATAAAACAATAACAATTCTCTAGTGAACTTAAAACGAAGACCCTTAAGTGTTTTCTTGAAGAATTTACCATAATAACTGGCAAAAAGCAGATTGAAGCACTGATCTTTTCCTTATCAAATAGTTCTTATATTAAGTAATATCTTGTGCATTATAAATAATCGGACAAGCAGATTGCGTATGAATTTGGAAGAGTAAGACTAAAATTGACCCCCCCCCCCGAGGAAGTCACATGATTTTTGATTGACTCATCTTGGAAAGCCTTTTTTGAAACTTCTTGTCCGAAATCCCAAATGTTAGAACCTAGGTATTTAGTGTGTTGTTTTGTCAAGTAGAATATTATCAAGTTTTTTAAATTATGATCTAGAATTTAACATTTACCCTACCATGGTGTAACATTTTACATTCACTTGGACAGCATGATAAAAAATATTTTCTCCCGAGATACTAAAATTCACAACACCCACAGGTCTGGTTTGTAGTTTAAAGGCTAATCCTATGGACCTTAGTAAATTAGAGAAAGTAAGAATCCATAAAGAAAGTCCGAAACGGCATAATTGAAAAAGTTGCAGGCTTGGTGTAATTGAGCCTGTTCGTGGACGGTACTGACTAGTGCAAACTACAGCCCTTGCTCCATAGCACCGATTAAAGCAGAACATGACACTGGTGAAATTTTTGAAGATGACATATTTGATAGTAAGACACTTTACACCACACAGTATCTGAATTACTATAAATTGTATGTATACAATGTTATGTTGAATAAAATATATGTTATGTTATATACAAAATTCATGTCCCTTGGGCCAGAAATGGTTTACTGGTGAGCGATCTAGTGTTACTATCACTTGTCAAAATATAGTATGTGCAAAGTTTTGGTCATTATTTTTGTTTTGTTAAAAACATTAAAAAGCTAAATTTTCAAAACTGTCCCATTTTCTAAGCAATTCTTTTAAATGTTTTTTCCATATACATCTAGTACAAGTATAGATTAAAACCACAACACAACTAATTACTCGAGATCATAGCTTTAAAAGCTTTTAAAGTTATGAATTACACACTTAAATGATAATTTTATTGTGTCTTTATTTATATTGCATACTGAGGACATTGCATAAGCATTTTATTTTTCAAAAAAAAATTAGCTTATATGCAGATGTTTACTCTAATTATGCATACAAACTGACGTCATTGTTAACATGAGGCCTTTTATAGTAAATATTTAGGTATGTTATCTGCATATCAAGTGATTTAATGCGGATTGAACAATGTATCCAGTCAGTAACTAGCACGCTTGTGATTTATCAGGTTTATTTGAAAAGTAAACACACATATACTTCAAACTCTGTAGTAAATAATATGGTATTGATCACCTCGCCCCAATCAGTAGATCTACTAAATGACTTTTGGTGTAGTAAAGTAAAATGAGTCACGAATGTATTAACACTGAAAAGATCATATTGCGACTTTTCAGCTTTACTGGTGGAGGAAGACAAAAAGTACTATTAAAGCATTATTTCAGATAACCCTAACCCTAGATGTTTCGTAAGCTACATGTAGATGGATTGCTTTCTTACATTAAATAATCCAAAGGACTATTTGTTTATATTTCCGTAATACTTTGATTTAAAGTCATAGTCAATTTAAGAATATCCATTGACATATAATCATAACCAAATCCGAAATATGTCATTTGTACATTCTGTTTGTCATTCGTACATTCTGTTTCTAAAAAAAGACTAACTGTACTTATCGTTTACATCTCTAAGTCGACTTTAACACAATATAACGATATACGAAAGTTGTTTGATACGTAAATGTGCATTGAATCACAGCGCTAATACCTTAATCGGAACACCTCGACTATCAACTATGATAAATTAAACAAGATAAACAAGGAAATGTGGCGTTTTATAAGTTTACGTAAAGCACCGAGAAGTTGACTTAAATATGTTTTTTAAATAAATAAATAAAATAGAATAAATAAATATATAAATATGCTAAGAACGTATAGTTTCGATTTCGTTTTCGGATTTTTGTTTGACTATTTATACCTTGGCTAATAACCAATGGGACTTTAACACGGAAACACTAGATTAGATTAATAGATAAAGCTAGATTTGCTTTTGATTCAGAAACATTGGAATAAAAAGAACCAACAGTGAGTAGACTGTTTCTTTATCACCCAAAAGAAAACTTAAACTAAATTAAACTTTTTTTAAAATTGAATTTTTGCTTGTTAAAACAGTTAATTTTCGGACAATCAACTGAGTCAGGTCATACTATATTTTAAATCTTTCTTTCGCATGAAGTACTGAAAGGTAGTTTATTATGATATGCTGATATAATTTGCATTCCATCGATGTGTGTCATCATTCGTTATCAATGATTTCTTAACAAAAAAAACTAGCTTAATTCTGACCAAATTTCCATAGACTGATCCCAAACATCTGAGATAAGATATATCAAAGTATTACAGATTATGTTAAAATAGATCGTGGAAAACCCTCCTTTATTTAAATCTCTAGATATTTTATTTGCATCATTGCCAGGTAATCAACTATAAAATTATAAAATCATGTCTTTTGAATCAAGGCTTATGACTTGCAGTTTGGATAGATGTTAGACTGGACTGTGTCGGGGGTGCTGCGTTTAGTGAACGTTGCCTTGCCTTGTTGATTTTTGTTCTCATTTTCAGTATTCTTCCTGTCTGAAAATGCATGGCTCATATCCAAATACTAAGCATTTATCATTGTTGAAAAAAAAGTTTCTACTCAAGCCGGTGCAAGGGGGCGTGAGGGATGTTTCACTTTTTCGTTATCTCTCATGTACAAACTAAATAAATTTTCATATAATTTGCTGTTTTTAATGTTTCCGAGGGATCACTTTTATCCAGATATTTATACATCACAACAGCAGGTGTCAAATGCTGTTAGTTGCCCCGTACTTCACTTCAGTGTTCTTATATTTTTCTGGTCCTTTTGGTTGAGAATTGAGTACCGCACAAGTTGGTGCTAAGGGGCTTGAGGGATGTTACACTTTTTTATTATCCCTTATGTACAGACTCAATCAAACCGAGTCTACAATTATCATGTAATTTTGTTTGTTTTTAATGCTTTCCGAGCGACTATTTTTCATACTGTTTTGGTGACACCTTTTCTTTGTTGTTTTCTCGTCTACGGTAAGTATCTTCCCCTTTGCCCCCAGTTTTATTTCTTTAGTTTAACCCGCCCCCTTCTCCGGGTCTACTGTCCCCTTCCCCTGTGTCCTTCGACTTTGTGGGCATATTGTTCGGTCATTTATTTGTTTTCTTTGAATTTCATTATCAGTTACAAATTATTCCCTATTTTTCAATTATTTATTTGTTTTCTTTGAATTCATTATCAGTTAAAAATTATTTATCATTTTAATGATTAGCCTGTCCGTGCTCTGCCTTGTGCCCTGTCCTGTTTTTGTTTGGGGTCCGCCTGGGCTCCTTACAACTGGTCTTGTTTGATTCAGCCTGTTCATGGACGGTACTGGAAAGTGCAAGTTACCGTCCACGCCTCCTAGCACCGGCTTAAGCGAATTTAAACACAAAAAGGATGAAATTGTTTTGAATTTAGAAAATCATGTTAAAAAATTGTCATGTTTTGGTATCACAGACATACCTTTTGTCAAAATCAGCATGCGTCATTGCTTACGGTCATCTTCAAACTATTTAGATAATACTCTTGCTGTAATGCTGTAGAAAAAGCCCACTCCACGTGAGTCCCTTTTGCATACAAACTTGTTTGGGGATTTTTAAAAGTATACCACTTCCTGAAAAATTGCCCAAAGCTTATTTATTTCCTATATAGCATTTCTAATTGATTCTTTTATCCCTGTTTTCATTTACACAGGGTAACAATGCAAACAAAAATAGAATGCATGTAAAACAGAGAAAAACAGAATCCCTAAAGAAAGCCCGACACAACAAAATTGAAAATGTTGCAGACTCGGTTTGATTGATTCTGTTCATGGACGGTATTGGAATTGAGAGAAATAATCCCTAAAGAAAGCCCAACACGGCACAATTGAAAATGTTGCAGGCTCGGTTTGATTGAGCCTGTTCATGGACGGTACTGTCATGCCCCCTAGCAACGGCTTAAGCAGAATTCAACATTTAAAAACGAAAATGGTGACATTTTAAATTTAGAAACATCCGCGAATGTGTTCATATGGCAGTTATCATGGAACCTTCAATTTGACACGATGGTGCGGCGTATGGTCCCCAAATAATAGAAAGTATGTGCCCTAAACGAGAAAAAAAATGGGCGGAACTAAACAAAATGGAATTTTGAAGGAGATCAGAAATTATGAAGCCTGTATACCATAGACAAGACGCCAACAGAAAATTTAAACAGAAGGCAATATATCTTAAGGGTGTGATTATACAGTAATCAAGTTGGAACACCGGAACCACCCGAGTTGAAAAAGGCCAAGAAGAAACTCAAAGTACCACATAACATGTATACACAACAATAATGTCGTGCTGAACGATCTTCAAGGATCGAAAATATTACATCATTGATTAAATGTACGGGGAGACTTTTTACAGCCGCCACACGGCACAAATAAGACGGATGTGACAATTAAATAGAGAAAATCAGAATTCCTAAAGAAGACCCAACACGATAAGATTGAAAACGCAGACGATCAAACACAAATTATATAATGGATTAAGTTACGACATTTTAGAATCCAATAACTTACGTTTTTGTAATTTATACAAACCGGCGATACTGTTCCGTTAATAGAAATCACGAACACTTATATAAAATGTATTTAGGTATATGTAATGGAGATTTATGATAAGAAAAACTAACAAATGACAGACGATTTGAATTTAGAACAACATGAAAAAGATATAACCTCAAAAACTTATTCTGGTGAATTTTGAACTTTTGGATTCCATAATATGTTAAACTAAATAAAAAATTGATTTGATTACATACTGAATGTAGACTGTTATCTAAATAAGCATGTATGTCCCTTACTTAAATGGAAATGTAATCCTGAGAAAAAAATGTAACAAAAGTATCTGCTTTTAAATTCATATTTTTATTTCATATCAGGTCTAACAGAAAATTGAAAAACATAAATATGAAACAATTACCTACAGCACAGGTGTTCTGTTCGGCGCGTTGATTTATCACTTCCCCTCGCCCCCACCCTTACCCACTCTATAACCCTCCTACCTGTCCAAAACCATGTAATCTTCAGTATTTTTGAAGCATTAATCACAACAAAATTAAATGAAAATTGCAACCTCGGTTTGATTGAGTAGTTTAAAATGTTATTGAACTATTATGTTGTAAAAATTATATAGCAGTGTAAACTGAAATATGAATAGATATAATAGTGACGAGACCAAAATGAAGTAGTGGCGAAAGTTTGTCAAAAGAAGAGGGGCTTAAAAAGGGCTTAGTCCTTCCATTAGAGCCCAAAATCATCCAATCATCCTATAGGTATAAAGAACCGTTTTTCCGATATGTCAAATTCCCAATCGTAATGGAAGTAACGGGTGCAGCAGAGTGCTCTCCCCTTTATTTTTGTACAGAGAATTTTCATTTGTCTGAGTATTCACATGATCAATGAAAATAATTCATACGAAAATAAACGGGAACAATCTCTGCGTTAGTAACTTTCATTTTGGATTGGAAATTTGCAAATCGGGAAAACGGTTCTCATGGTGAGCTATTGTGATCCCCACCGTCCATCGTCGTGCGTCGTCAACCATTTCTTTAAACAACATCTCAAAAACTAATGACTGCACAGTAACCAAACTTTACAGGAATAATCTTGAGTGGTCCCCTGCCAAATGTGTTAAAATGGTTCCAAATTATAGCCCTAGGGTCAAAATTGGCATAAGTCATAGATTTCCCTTATATGCATATAGTAAAAACTGTTCCCATCCACAAACCTTAACCTTGATCATAACTTCTTGGTGTAATGTCTTAAAATATCAACTCCTGTTTTGTATATTTTTAAGACCTGGTTACTTCACTTTTGTATATTAATTGCATTTAGTCCTCAGGTGAGCGCATTGGGGCCAATTGCACCCTTGATTAATATTTTTGTGGGAAAAAGCGAAAATTGAATTAAAAGCATATATTAAATATTAAAACATATTTCAAATGAAAAAGTATTGCAGTTTACAAGGTTTTGGAGAGGTTGGAGGGTTGTAATGTGGGTATGGGGGTGGGGAGTGACCAATCAACGCGCCGAACACCTGTGATCTACAGAATATGATTAAAACACCTAACTTAATCACTAAGCATGATTTCCTTCATTTATTTTCTTTTTCAGGATAAAAAACAAAGGTGATGACCTCGTACAAAAATGATGGGGACTGTGTTCCTGTTCAATCAATGCCCAATGGCGTCTTTATACCATCGAATGGACAAATGAATGGACATGTTATTTATGCTGGTATGATACAATTAGACACTTAAATAGGTGTTTATGCATTCCGTAGCTGACAAGTAAAAATGTCAATAATTTCGTAAACTAAACTTTTCGTGTATCACATTAAACATCATAAAGCAATCGTGCCAATTAACAATGTGTTTTTAAAAGTAGTCCTCTGTTTCATTTAGGTGATCAGATATGCATTCGTGAAATGCCGAAACAATGGAGGCCAACCAAATGGAGTAGAGAAGTACATACATTTTGCTTAAAAACCGCAATATATCAAAAATAGAATAGTTTGTTTTTATTAGATAATGTATATCAAACTAGAACTCTGCGAGTCGGATGTGTCGCCTTGCGAAAAAAAAACAGTAAAGCTGTCACATCGGCATTTTCTTCTTAAATATAGGTTAAATATAAATACCATTCTTACAATATACATGGACCTGAACTTTAGAAGCATTTAAACTGATTGTAACACTGTTACATCAGGATTGATGTAGATTGAATAGCTTTTTGTGTTGGAGAATTGACCCGGACAAAAATAAAGTATATTAATTAACAAAGGGCAATAATTCTTAAATCATGAAGTACATAATGCCGGTTCTTATATATGCACTGCTCTTCTTCTCAGTGAGATCTCTCATCCTATGGATTTTCAAGTCCATAGCTTTTATTGTTTAGGTGAAATGGCCGGTACAAAAATAAAGTATTATAATTATCAAAGAGCAACAACTCAAAAATTAAGAAGCGCAGAGTATCAGTTTTTGTGCACTGCACTTTTTCTTAATGAGATCTCTCATCCTATGAATTTTCAAGTCCATAGCTTTTATAGTTTAGGAGAAGTGGTCCGGACAAATATAAATGATGAAAATTAACAAAGGGCAATTACTCAAAAACATACGTGCAGAGTACCGGTTCTTGTGCACTGCTCTTTTTCTTGTTGTGATCTATCATCCTATGAAGTTGCAAATCCATAGCTTTTAAAGTTTAGGAAAAATGGCCAAGACAAAGTAGGAAAATTTACAAAGGACATTAACTCAAAAATGTACCGGTTTTGTGAACTGCAATTCTTCTTAATGAGATCAATCATCATATGAAGTTTCAAGTCCATAGCTTTTAATAGTTTAGGAGAAATGGCCCGGACAAGGCGACACAACAACGCATTTTAAAAAGGGAAACTAATAATGAAGCTTATGCTTTTCTAACCATTTTAAAACGTGGTAACGGAAAAATGCAAGCATGTCGTAATGATCAATACTTACAGAAAGAGAAAACTTGTCAAAACATTCATTCATAGATCTAGAAAATTTGAAATTGATGCATTTACTTTCGCGCTTATTTTTCAAACATTTTGACGGATAACACCTTTATGTACCTTATTTGTTAATCAAACGCTATGTGAAGTTTCATCAAACCTTGAAAGAGAGAGACAAGACATGTCAAAATGTGAACACAGAATCTTGTAATTCAATGTTCTTCTTAACATTTACAGTATGTACGTTTAGAACTCTAACAACGGTATAATCAAAATTGCCAAATGTTGATTTTTGTAATTGTCATAACTTTCAAAATTATATTTCTCTTGATTTTGTAATAGCATCTATAGTGTATAAAAGACGATTTAATGAGGTTTACACCAAAAGAAGATCCGTTAGTCACGCGAACACGGATATTGATGATTGGACTTGTTGGCGCGGGAAAGTCCAGCTTCTATAATACTTATTGGATGGATACATTAAAGACCACTACGAGGTATTGCTACCTTGTAATTGGGAAAATACGTGTTATAAGATTATAGAATGCTCTTTCAAAAATCCATTTTATTTAGTTCCGCCCATTGTTTACTCGATTAGGGCACAAGCTTTCTATTACTTGGGGACCATATGCCGCTTTTCATGGAATGGCACTAACGTGTCACATTAAAGGCCTATAATAACCGCCGTATAAACAAATCTGCGGATATTTCTAAATTCAAAATTTTACCATTGCATACTAAAATGTTGAATTCTGCTTAAGCCGGTGCTAGGGGCATGGACGGTAGTTTGCACGTGACAGTATCGTCCATGAACAGGCTCAATCAAACCGAGCCTGCAACATTTTCAATTTTGTCGTATTGGACTTTCTGTAGGGAATCTTATTGTCTCTATTTTATCGCCACATCAACGTTGTTTTTGTCTTGTGGAGGTTGTTAAAAGTTGCGCCGTACATTCAATCAGAGATGTCTGATCCTTATAGATTTTTCAGCAAGACATTTTTGTTGTGTTTATAATATATTTAAGTTTTAACTATTTGGCCATTTTCTATTTGGGTTGTTCCAATATTCCTACTTGAATAATGTTGAATTATCCTTAGGTTTGTTGCATGTTTTTTAACTTTGTTTTTTGACGTCTTATCTGTGATGTGCAGTCTTCATAACCTCTGATCCCCTTTCAAAATTCAATTTTATTAAGTTCCGCCTATTGTTTACTCGTTTAGGGCACACGCGTTCTATAAATTGGGGACCATTCGCCACTTTCCATGGAATGGTATAAGCCACTCACATTGACGGTTCCATGATAACCGCCATATGAACACATCTGTGGATATTTCTTAATTCAAAATTTAACCATTTCGTATTTAAATGATGAATTCTGCTTAAGCCGGTTCTAGGAACGCGACAGCACCGTCAATGAACAGGCTCATGAAACCGAGCCTGCAACATTTTCAATTTTGTCGTTTTGGACTTTCTGTGGGGAATCTAATTTTTTTTATTCTATCATATACAAAATCAACGAGATAACATAGCAAAATTATATAGCATATAATATTTGTAATTACCCTTTTCAAACTAAGTGTTGTTTGTAAAATGCTTTAACATTTCGATATCTTTTAATTTTGTCTTTTTATTTAGTTTTCAACGGAGCATTCAGTTTCTTGGTGGTATTTTAACAGAACACCGTCTGCCAATGATAGAGTACATTGCATAGCGTTTGTCATTGATGCAACATCAGTGGACGTTTTATCAGAAAAGGATTTACACAAAATCAGAACATTTCAGAAACTTGCAAAGGAGAGAGGTGTGCTATTTTGTTATCGATGGTTAAAACGTAACGTTAATGCTGCAAATTACTTACTCCTAACATTTTGCTTATTTTTGTTTTGTAACCTTATAATTTGCTTATTAGAAAAAAATGATTTACCCAAAAGAAAAAGTATTTTGCAAATCAAACACATATCTTGTATTTTCCTTTTTTAATTATTAATTGATTAATTATTTCAACATTTTCATAGAAACATTAAAGGATGATTAACCAGAAAACACTTAACCGTTACATAAACACCGAATAGGAGATAAAATGATAAACTTAGTAAATTATTCATTTTTATATTTATAACAGGTATATTGCAGACAGTTGTTCTAACAAATATAGATAATCTCTGTAAAGATGTGAAGAAGGATATTTCGTTAGCCTGTTCGAGCACAAATGTTGAAGAGGCTGTTCAGAAGGTAGCAGACCTGCTAGGTCTTCCACGTAACAATGTCTTCCCAGTAAAGAACTACGAAAATGAGACAGAGCTGGACGACAAAATAAGTATTCTTGCCTTAGCTGCTTTGAAGCAAATGCTCTTTTTCACGGAAGATGCTTTGCAAAAGAAGAAAGAAGAAGCAGAACACGCAAAATGGTCGAAACAGCCATGCAATATCCTTTAAAACGCATCCAACCTGATTCACATAAATAAACGTTATGAAAGTTAAAAAAAAAAACTACAAAGATACATATTTAAGAATCAGTCTCACACAAACTTTAAGTAGTACTTAATCTTCTTTTTACTTATGTAATGTTTTAGACTTTCATAAGCTATACTTTCACACTCTGAAATAAAACTGAATAGTGTGTAGAAGCTTGAACAAGATAAAAGTAATCGTCGCCAAGTCAAGCTAAATACCAAGTCGGAAGACAGTGTTTGATGAAAAGAATTTATTAAAAGTTTTGTTTTAAGTTTAGATTAAACCTCGCACCAAGAGATATTTTGAAAGTTTACTTGATGTAAAAAACAACAAATGTGCAAATACTAATTGTTACATTAAATGTGAATTTTAGATGTACAACGACGGAGATATGGAAGTTATGTTAATAACGTAATCACTTACTTGTACACTTGAAATGAAGATATGGCAATAAATTATGGAAATCTTGTCTGATTTTGCAGAACTATCGGTACTTAATGTTAATTTTTATAGAACTAAGGTTGTGTGGATAGGGAAAATGAAATATTCTCAAAACAGTACAAAAACAAAATGGAAATTAAATGGAAGCAACATCAATTTAAAATAATAGACATAAATTTTCATGTTGACTTAAAGAAAATGATAGATTTAAACTATAGCAAAAGAATAGAGATATATCGAAAGGTTATTCAAAATTGGAAAAGTATAATTCTCACACCAATCGGTTAATTTGCTGTTATAAATTTTATTTTGATTCATCTCTAAATCATATATGTATTTCACTACAAAACCCTTCTGAAGATGTAATCGTGTATTAAATGAAATGTTTTATGGTTTTATTTGGCAAGGAAATGCTAGTTGGAAAAGTTATCTTTACGACAAAATAGATACTCAAACTTTTTTCACTGCGGAAACCATTACTTTGATAAATTTGCAAAAGAAACGACCAATCTTTTTTGGAAGGTCACCTTTACAGCCTTATCAAGTTATATAGAATTACTTTCAATATAAAATCATTCTTTTGGAAAACATCCTTTATTTTATAATAATAACATATCAATTGGTTCAGAAAGCGTATATTTAAAATCGTGGTTCGATGCTGATTTTATAACATAGAACACCTAATAGCATCTTGAGGAAAGTTCTTATCTTATAATGAATTAATTTATAGATACCATGTTCAATATAATATCTTAACTTTCAACGGTATGATTTTATCAATAAAGCAATGTTTAAATAAATATAATATTATCTTATACACCTCACAGAAAAGAATTGCCATACTTTAAAGATATTGTATCAGACATAAATGGAGCAAACCCTTTCTATAATATATTTGATATAAACCAATCAAAGCCCACAAGTATCGATAAATGAACCAAAAATCTTAATTAAATGAATGAAAAATTAAATTTGAAATGTGCCAGTTGCAATGGTTCCAAACAAGAATTTTTCACAGGATTATTGGAACCAATCACCTTTTATACAAAATTAAGTATAAGGAGAGTCCTTTTTGATTTTTTTTGTAGTAATGATGTTGAAAGAATTGAGCACCTATTTTGGCTGTGTCCCATTGTCAAAACATTTATAAAGGAATTTCTTAAAATAAATGAAGAACCTTTTTTATCTTTGGGTATATAAGAAATGATGTTTGGCTATAATGCAAAAGATGATCTATCTAACGCAAAACCACTTATTTTTAGTATACATTTAAATGTGTGTATATCAATGTTAAGTAAAATGCTTGATCTTTCTTTATCAACGGTTGAAGCTAAAAACTTTATAACACAAAAGCTCATGACTGATAAAGAGGGAGCAATCACAAATAATAGGTTATCAAAGTTTGATAAAGTTCGGAGTCTTTTTACAAAAATTATGTCTTTATTTTGAAAAGAAAAAATGTCATATATTGGTGATGCTTTTTAAACTTTTTTTTTAAAATACGGTTATGATTGTGAGTGTGAAAGCATGTGTCGTCCTTGTTTCCTTGTGTTTTTTTTGTGTGTGTGTGTTTTTTCTTTTTGATTGTCTTTTTTGTAAATAACTGTCCTTTCACTATAATAATAAATATTAGTTTGACATCTGGTATACCCCGTTCCTATGCATGATAAAAGATAATTTGTTAAAACCACTGTGGGATGTGCTTTGACCCACAAATGGTTATGTGACGAAGCGAATAAATGGGGTTACCCCATGTGGGGCCTGAAAAGAAGATATGACAAGAAAAGATTTAACGGTTCATAATCGAAAGCATGCTTCTAGATGATCGAAAATATTTCAAGAAAAATCAAATTTAAGAAAAATGTACTGAGATTCTAAAAAAAAAAAAAAAAAAAAACAAGATTCAAGTAATAATTTACATGTTATATGCGATGAATGTCTGATTTTGGCAGTATTTGTCACCATATTTCAACAGCGTGACTTTTTTTTTTAACAATTTGTTTTACATTGCTTTGTCAATGTTAAAGTGAAGATGAAAGCTCATAAGGAAGGATTTATAGAAAGCTGATTCAGGTTCAGAGACATCATGAACAATGCAACATCTCTTGTTGCATCTACCATTGGCTTGATTTACAAACAATCTTTAGCACTTACTGTTCTACCAACAATGATCGAGAATGACGAGAATCATATGAGAATATTGGCTGTGACTGAAATTGAAAAGCAGCTATTGACACCTGTTTTTATATTATGGTTTAGCGTAAACGGATTTATCAAATAAAAATGGTTTTGAAATTATAAACAATGTCATTGCTTCTTTAGTTTTAGAATTTCATTACATACTTTTTATACCATATTGTGAAAACATTAATAATATATGAAAACTGCCATATTCATATTCACAGCTGAAACATTATTTCGTAGGTATGATCAGTAATCAAACCATTTGGAAAATATAAATTTGGTCCTCCTCTGAAAGACTATAAGTAATAATGAAATTCATTTCTGATTAAGTAAAAACAAATTTTGTTCTATAAATATCTATATAATTACAGTAACTTAATAAATC